CAACCGGATGCCCCATGACGAGGCTTGAACCCACACAACCAGGCTTTCAGCAATCCTAGATTTCCTTCCTATATAAAGAATGGAGATAAGCACCAATGATGATTTATTAAACAAGTAAAAAGTACGAACTTATGTCTGCAAGAAATTCCTTGTGCTAGTATAAAGTTACTACTAAAACATTAATTAACAGAAATACAAGCCCAAGTGGAACACTACAAGTATCCAAATGACCTATGAAACAACGGTATTTTGTCCAGGTAGGTAAGGGGATTTTGTCCAAAGGGGATTACACACAAGTATCCATTTGTGAACTATTTTATTCATCAGACAGCTAGAAAACAGTGAACTATTTTATTCATCAGACAGCTAGAAAACATAACATAACATTTCCTAAACAAAACAAGGATGCATCAATGGTAATCAAGGGCATATAAAAAAAAATCAACATGTGGCTTAATTTCCATAGATCTAAAATACAAAATAAAACCTATTTAATGTAAAAGAGGCCATAGGGAAATCTATATTATTCCTAAATGTTCACGTTTTGAAGATTTACACCGCTCCCTCATCTGAAGGATGTGACATGTTAAATGCCATCTTTTAATGTAATTTCACTCCCAAAACTCTCCTAAATCTATTGAACAAAGATTAAAGTCTGGCATTTGAAAATGTGTGCTAAATAAATCAATTTCAGCGGAATAAAATTTGACAGTTCTCATTAATTTGACGTGTCACAAAAAAAAAGGAAGAAATTTCATTTATCAAAACTAATTGGGCGATGCACTTTACAGAAGGAAATGGGAGTAGCACAAACTAAAATTACTGTCTACAGGTCTCTATATTGATCTAGAATTATAAAGGAATAATATTTTCAGGTTTTAAAAAATGAGCCGGCATAATTTTTATAATAAAAGTCAAAATAAATACACCACTGATGCTAGTATTTTTTCACTATTACCAACCTAAAAACCTTAGGAACCCTTTCGCATGTTTTCATATAGACATATAGGCAAAATTAAAACTGTTAAAAATTTTTTTTTATAAATTTCACTAGTGGTTTATCAGAATATAATCATTGTTCATATATAACAGTAAAACACTGGAAAGCATGAAATTAAGCAGCTATTTACAACTACAATATCTATAATTTTTTTAAAACAGACAATATGAGGACTTAACTCCCTAGGCCAACCCCCACCCCGCCCCAACTCCCAGCCAATAAAACATTATTACTGAAGTCTACCATACCACTGACAGATTTAAAACATAAAGCATGTAAGATCATTAATCTGAAGTGTTGATCAGTGAGTGTTATATTGCTTATCAATAATTTCAAGACCTAACAATGCTTGTAAATCTGTGAAATTTGTGATGACAGACAAAGATAATACAGTTGACTCTTGTTATCCTGGAGTAATCTGGACCATCCAACAAAATATCGAGATAACGAAATGTCGAAATAAAAAGTATTAGGGTTTTAACCAGATAGAAACTGATATTAACAAAAGACATGTGCATGTCTAAAGTCAAATAAGCTAAGTATGAGATCTCCATGTCTTGTTTTCTGAGACTTATATATCGAGATAACGAAATATCGAGAAAAGCGATGTCGAGATAACAATAGTTGACTGTAATCTGTCTGTAGTATATCAAACAACCACCCAATAAAAGACAAATTAATAATATGATCCCCAAGTACACTAACATGTTAACTCCTATTAAATTATACAAGGAAATAATACACTACTGCATCAAGGTGAAGATATACATGTATATTCATCTTGCAATACATTTATTACAATACATGTAGTATCAAAACTGATGTGAAAATACAAGAAATGAAAATGCTTTACCCTTTTCCTGCTTAATATCCAAAATGGACTTGTCCATATTTCAATCTTAAAGGGACTCCATTGAGGGTTTTTTAACATAAGGGACAGGAAATAATTTTTCAAGATTAATGTTCTATTTGGTGTAGGGTTAAACTTATAACTTGTGTGCAAAATTTCTGATCATTCGCTCACTCCGTTTCCCCTGAATACTTACTTTGTGAAAAAATGACCCAAAATTGCAAAGCATTGCAATGCTTTTCACCCAAATAGAGCTAGGAATAGCACAAAATACAATTTTATAGTATATTTCTAAATTATCTTTTGTCTATTTTTCTGTTTTAAGTGCCAAAACTTATTTTTGTAAGAAATTTAAATTTTATGTTTTTAGGCCTTTGGACCTCAGTGGAGTTCCTTTAACCAAAACAGTTCACAATTTTTAAGGAAAATGTCACATTATTTCCTGACTTAATATAACAATCAGTGCAGACCACAATCAGACCAATGATTCTCTGTCTGCATTTCTGTGGAGCCTTAAGAGTCAAAATGTGAGATTTACACACAAAAAAATGTGAGAATTACAAAAAAAAAATATTGGGTAAAATTAATATATCTTATATTCAACATTTTACAATGACAGAGCCTTTTCTAGCTACTTTAGGAAAAGATCCAGACCCCTAGCATATATTGGGGGAAAAATAATCGGCATTTTGGGAAATTAGAGAAAAATGTGATAAAAAGTTGATAAACTATGGTACCTAAAGCATGACTGAAAAATGTTTTTAAAATGGGTTATTCATATAACCTGTTGTTTTTTTTGTAAGGATCAAATAAAAGTAATTCAATTTTTTTCTCAGCATAACTGAGATCTTCATTGCTGGAAAACATGCTTAAAATCTTAATCATATACCATTACTTAATATGAATACAAATTTTATGTTTCCAAAACACTTAGAACTGCACACTTTCGGCCCCACTCAACACAACCATACACTATATATACGTCCATTTCATGTTTTATGGAATCCACCCGTCAGAGAACATAAATGGGAACCATAATAGGACTGGGAACCAGATTATAGTTTGGGTAATATGAAAGTAGGCAAAGCCTATGAGCAGGGAAGTGAAAATGATGGCAAAATGATCATGGAAAATCTTGAAAATAAATTTGATGTCCTACATCACTAAGTCACTGATATGCTTTAACATATAAGGGAGACCAATGTGTAAAAATATTTTTTTACTGTCAATCCACAGTTATCTCTCTTATTAAAGGACAAATAACAATAACCAACAGTTGGAAAAGTCTTGGGAAGGTTGCGTTCATTGAACGCTGCCTTTCCTTGTTGATCTTGTTTATCATATTTTCTAATTATGTACAAAAACTATCATAATAGCTCGAATTTTTCTTCAAAACAAATGAGCTAAAAATGATATGTCATTAGAGAATTTATTCTAAACTTATCAAAAACAAGAGGGCCATGATGGCCCTAGATCGCTCACCTGACTTATCAAACTCATCCAAACAATTACCTAGACAAGCATTCTGACCAAGTCTCATGACAGGTGAGTCAAAAATGTGACCACTACAGTGTTAACAAGGATTATCCATATTTGAGCAGTGCGACCTAGTTTTTTACCCAGGTGACACATATTCAAACTTAACCTAGAAATCATCAAAACAAACTTTCAGACCAATTTCCAGGATACTTGGATCAAAACAGTAGTAACTAGTGTAAACAAAATTTTTCTATTTTTAGCTCCGGTGACCTAGTTTCACATGCGATTTCGAACTCATCCAAGCAATTACCTAGACAAGCATCCTGACCAAGTTTGATGATAATTGAGTCGAAAATTTGACCACTAGAATGTTAACAAGGTTTTTCCATATTTGGGCGGTGTGACCTAGTTTTTCATCCAAGATGACCCATGTTCGATCTTGACTTAGAAATCATCAAAAAAAACTTTCAGACCAATTAACAGAATATTTGGATCACAACAGTAGCCACTAGAGTGTTAACAAGATTTTTCTATTTTTAGCTCCTGTGACCTAGTTTTTCATCTGAGATGTCCCATGTTCGATTTATTCCCAGCAATGACCTAGACAAGTTTCCTGACCAAGTTTGATGACAATTGAGTCAAAATTGTGACCACTAGAGTGTTCACAAGGTTTTTCTATTTTTAGCTCCTGTGACCTAGTTTTTCATCAGAGATGACCCATGTTCAAACTCATCCAAGCAATTGACTAGACAAGCATTCTGACCAAGTTTGATGATGATTGGTTTAAAAATGTGACCACTAGAGTGTTCACAAGGTTTTTCTATTTATAGCTCCTGTGACCTACTTTTTCATCCGAGATACCATGTTCAAACTCATTCAAGCTATCAACTAGATAAGCATCCTGACCAAGTTTGATGATGATTGATGCAAAATGTGACCGCTAGAGTGTTATCAAGGTTTTTCTATTTATAGCTCCGGTGACCTAGTTTTCATCCGAGATGACCCATATTCGAACTCATCCGAGCTATTATCTAAACAAGCATCCTGACAAAGTTTGATGATGATTGGGTCAAAAATGTGACCACTAGAGTGTTCACAAGGTTTTTCTATTTTTAGCTCCTGTGACCTTGTTTTTCATCAGAGATGACCCATGTTCAAACTCATCCAAGCAATTGACTAGACAAGCATTCTGACCAAGTTTGATGATGATTGGTTTAAAAATGTGACCACTAGAGTGTTCACAAGGTTTTTCTATTTATAGCTCCTGTGACCTACTTTTTCATCCGAGATGACCCATGTTCGAACTTATTCGAGCTATCACCTAGACAAACATCCTGACCAAGTTTGATGATGATTGGGTCAAAAATGTGACCTCTAGAGTGTTCACAAGGTTTTTCTATATTTAGCTCTTGTGACCTAGTTTTTCATCCGAGATGACCCATGTTCGAACTCATGTGAGCTTTCAACTAGATAAGCATCCTGACCAAGTTTGATGATGATTGAGGCAAAAATGGGACCGCTAGAGTGTTCACAAGCAATTGTGGACGTACGACGGACATTCACCAATCCTAAAAAAGCAAAATCCAAAACCATATATGTGAATACTAAACTGCAAAGCCTTTTTCTTGCAGTAAAATGCAAGACATTAAAAGCATAATTCTAATATTTTACCTTGATAACTTTAGCCAGGGAGTCAGCACCTTTTGATGTCAAACTACACCCAGTGAAATTAACTGAGTTGATAGAGGTGGAATTCTTGATGCCCTTGCATACAACTGAAAACATAGTAAAACAGGGAAGATATAGAGGATATTGCATGAGTATAAGTTTAATACTGTATTTATTGGATGAGTTGAATAAAACTATATTGTGCGAGCCTCTGGCGATCATGATATTATTTTGTTCAACGAATTTGATAAATTCAGTAATGAACTTATACTATTTCAATATTCTATTTATCACATACCAAAAACAAAGACCTTTTTAAGTGAAAAAGACTAATTTTTCTTTGACGCGCCTATAGTATAACGCTAATATTTTGCGCGTCTTTACACTGTGTTTATATAACGCAAATGACATCATGTCAACCTAAATGCAAGGCTGTGCAATACCATTTTTTACAGAGTCACGAAAGCGACACAGACATGTGATAAGTAACCTTTAAATTCCACATAGCTATTTTCAATCATAACAAAGCAATCTAAAATGTAGGTCCTAGGCATAAGCGTTCTTTGGTTTTTGTTTGGAAACCGTTTTTACCTACAAGGTCAATGTGACCTTGACCTTTGATCTCAAAATCAATATGGCTCATTTTCTGTTCAAGTTCCTAGGTTCTTTAGTTATTGATCGAAAACCATTTTTACCTACAAGGTGACTTTGACCTTTGACCCCTTGACCCTAAAATTAATAGGAGTCATTTATTGGTTATGAATAATCATCCTATTAATTTTGAAGACGCTAGGCCTAAGCGTTCTTTAGTTATTGATCAGTAACTGTTTTTTCCTTCAGGGACAATGTAAGGTCAGTGACCTTGACCGTTGACCCCAAAATCTATAGTGGTTATCTACTGCTCATGAACAATCATCCTACTAAGTTTGAAGTTCCTTGGCCTAAGTGTTCTTTAGTAATAGATCGGAAAACTTTTTTACCTACAAGGTCAATGTGACCTTGACCCATTGACCCCAAAATCAGTAGTGGTCATCTACTGGTCATGAACAATCATCCTACTAAGTAGCGGTCTTTAGTTATTGATCTGAAACCATTTGGTCTACAGACCAACTGACCTACCGACCGACAGACAAATGCAAAGCAATATACACCCTCTTCTTTGAAAGGGAGGGCATAATAATTTAAAAACTGTGGGATACCAGTTAATATACATACTGTCTAGTCCTGCGTCACCTATTCTGCAATATTCTAAAGACAGATGATTCATTGTGCTGTTCTTCACCAATCCCTGAAATTATATTAACAAGAAAATGAAGACTTAAATGTATTCAGTAAGTTGTGACATTTCGTCCCAATGTATTTCTACAGATAAACAAATTGATAATGATTGGGCAGGTGTTCAGTCACAGGAAAACTGTAACGGTCATATTGGGATTTTCAAGTTTAACTGATGGAGGAAGACTAAGGTTCCCAGACATGCTTTATTACAGGCACAGACTTCCCGAAAGTAAAAACAAGAGCTGTCGGTAGGACAGCAACGCTCGACTATTCTTAGTGCTTGATAGTAAAAAAAGCCTTGATGAAAAGGTAAAATTTTCTAAGTAAAGAAAAAGGCAAAATTTTTCTTTAAATCCATATTACAGTTATAGGCCTTGGAGAGAGTCCTATTATGCTCTCAAAGAAGAGTATAAAATTTCAACATGTTTCAAAGCCTTATGTCAATGAATTTTGAAAATATTTGAGGTATTACAAAAACTTTAACGTAAATTCTAAGTCGAAAAAGGGCCATAATTCTGTCAAAATGCTTGATAGAGTAACCTCCTCCTGTCTACATGTTGGGGTCATGATCCATATGTCAATGAACTTTGAAAATATTTGAGGTATTACAAAAACTTTAACGTAAATTCTAAGTCGAAAAGGGGGCATAATTCTGTCAAAATGCTTGATAGAATTACCATCTCCTGTCTACATGTTGGGGTCATAATGGTGAACAAGTGTGCAAAGTTTCAAAGCCATATGTCAATGGACTTTGAAAATATTTAAACTATTACAAAAACTTTAACGTAAATTGTAAGTCGAAAAAGGGGCATAATTCTGGCCAAATGCTTGATAGAGTTACCTCCTCCTGTCTACAGGTTGGGGTCATGATGTGAACAAGTGTGCAAAGTTTCAAAGCCATATGTAAATGGACTTTGAAAATATTTAAACTATTACAAAAACTTTAACATAAGTGGTTACGTCAACGCCAACACCGACGCTCGGGTGACTACAATAGCTCTACTTATTTTTATCGAATAGTCGAGCTAAAAAAGTGTCAGACATTTGGTCTGGCAAACCATGAAAATTTGTCAGACCAAAAACAAATTCTGTCAGACCGAATAAAATTTATCAAAATCAAAGTAAACTTGTGTTTGTATTTCTAAGACAATTTTCGGTTTTAATTTTTTGCCATTTTCTCCTCCCTGTCATATTGAGTCATACACGAAAGATTCACAGTCCTGCTTCCATTTTTCATTAAATTTTGTCTCAGGTCTATTTTTTTCATCCCTTTACCGCTGTTCTGCACGCTCCTCTAAAGTAGATTTTCGTTTTTTCCCAGGTTTGGCACCTTTAGCGACACCATTTTGTATACATTTGACTTGAATAAAAGCTGGACAGTCGGACTGAGAATGGAACTTGTGGCATAGTAAAGGGAAAACATTTTTAAAACTCTTCTTTAAACCTAAATGATAAATCTGCTGAAATTCCTTAAATGGACTTGTCAGCCTTACATTCCCGAACTGTTCAGTATCAATATGGGGGGATATTAACATAAAAATTTTAAATTGACCAGCCAATGGGATAGAGCCTGGTAAGACTAGCAAGGTATGTACAGGCTGGCCTAGCTTTATACTGATGGCAAAGACTAAGGGGGTTTAACTGGACATTTTTCCTTCTATAACAGGGGTCCATGTTCGGCGGTCGGCCCCTTCACATTTCAGAATTGAACTTTTTTCACAAGGCGGCAGAAAAAAATTCACAATTTCAAAAGAAATTGCACAAAATATCGGGACTTTGTCTTTGAAATTAATTGTTAACATTATTGGCGTGAATAGTATGTCATTTTTTTTGAAAATTTTATGACATATCGCGCTTTCTTTCACAAAATGAACAGGCCCAGACCCATTCACAATTTTTACCAAAAAAAATGACCTATTTAATTATAAAATTAACTGACCTTCATTAGTGTTGTCAGGTCCCTCTCTCTTAGTGGTAAACCCTGCAGCTCCAGACATGTTAGATTTGGTGTCACACCTAGACACTCCTTTAAGGCTTTACACATTCTATACGTGATCTCCTTAGATCTCACCGATGGTGTTTTACGCTTCTCTATCAATGCTCTCTTCTCTAAAAAAAGTAAAACAAATAGTTCAGAAGATAATATCAATGGGTTTAAAGTCGGTGCTAGGGGGCATGGATGGTAACTTGCACTTTCTAGTACCGTCCATGAACAGATTAAATCAAACCGGGCCTGCAACATATACAATTTTAGTCATTGAATTTAGCACTGGCCCGGTGGCCCATGGTAGAGTTGGGTACCGCCAGAAAGAATGTACCACGGTATACCACAGTTTTTCCTAAAAACCACGGTATAAACCGCGGTATACCACGGATTTTCGTTGTATGCTATAGGTTAATTTTTATCCCTAAAATAAGTATCAAGGTAGGCGGGTATAGAATTTCAAATATTAAATTAAAGCAGATCTATAAAATACAGATTAATCAAAGCATTATTTAACTTTTTTCAATCAGGTACTTTCGCATGTTGACAATCATAAATTAATTGGGTCATGGATCAGTTCTTGTTTTTTTTTATTACATATTGGTCTCTTTCAACATTTAACGACTGTTATATAAATTGCATAGTTAAAATGGAAAAATAAAATGTTTTTATTGCTTATTGATTAATAAAATAATAGGACAAATGCACGTTAGCCGATGACAAATATTTATTTGTCGGTTAATTTTATAACAGAGTCCCAGCTGCTATTGTAATTTTTTTTATTCCAAGGGCTAAGTATTTAATTAATCTGTGTCAAAAACCAGAACAAACATAATAATATTATGTACCCCAAAAGCAAATTAAAATTATCACATAGAAAACAGCTGACCATGTTACTGCTTAATTAATATTCATTAGTTGAACGAACATTACTTTTAATCCAGTTTCTACGCCGTTCTATAATTAGTTAATTGCCATGCGCATGCAGTAAGTGCGTGACGTAAGGAAAACCCCTAGCCTGATTGGTCGCTATTTATATAAATACTTAAAATAGTAACACCCTAATTTTATGCAAGGAATGCCCTCATGAATTATCAATCTTTACGATTAGTTTTTGTATCAAATAAGCGATATTTGGACAAGTAAATGTAAGTCGACAATTCTTGCTTCTTCAACTGACATCATGCAAGTCGACAATTCTGGCTTACATGCGGTAATCGATAAAGCATATAATTTTCGCTAAGAACTATCGAAGAATGATAATAGTCAGCGAAAGTCGTTTGCAAAAAGGTTAACTCAAAGAAACATTAACATATACAACAGAAAAAGTTTTTTAATTTAGTACATTTTACGGATCTGTAATTGCTTTAAATTAGAGCTAAAAGTACCGGTTTTCCTGGTCTGTACCGCGGTACGTACCGCAGATGTCTCGGACCGTGGTTTACCGGTATACCGGTAAAACCGCACACCTCTAGCCCATGGCCATTGAAAATTAGTTCGGGCCAGTATAAATTTTAAGAAAATTTAGTTAAATATATAGAAGAAAAAATTCAAAACTGAAATTCGGGCCAGTTAATTCAAAATCTTAAATTCAACAACTGCAATTTTATTATTTTGATCATTCTTCATGAATTCCATTTTCGCTATTTTCTATTTGCCTAAATTTTATCCTCTAAATTAATTTACATACAATTTTCTGTCTTCTTTTTTTCGTCTTTTTTTTTTTTTTTTTTTTTTGAGTTCAAACAAAACCTTTCTGAGGGAAATTCTTAAATATGTACCAACTGAATAGCAAACAATTTAGATCACGATCAGATGGGATGGATCTCTGCCTCTGACAGATGATCTCGGTCTGCACTGGTTGCATGGTAGATTCAGTTGCTGTGAAAAGCGAGGAGTTAGAGGGTTTATTTGGTTGTCTGTAATTGGGGGAATACTTGTATCTTGTGCTGTCATTGATTATATCTGAAGTATATTGATAATGGACCTTTTACGGTTTTTCGTAGCGGAACATTTAGCCACATCTTTTCCATTCATTGCTAGGTCAACTGCTCACAAACAGTATCACAAACATAAGCATGTGTTCTTTTGTGCAAACCAGGTCAACCAGTGACTATGTGTTATCTCAGTGTAGCAATTGGATAACAAGTTAGCCAATTTACATAAAACTGTAAACAATGGAAAGGTCCATGTATCAATATCACAGGGTTTTTATTTCTATCTGAGCCAACAGATGTGCCATCGAAAACAACCAATTTGGCCATGGGTCAAGGTGGATATTTTAATATAGGCTGAAAAAACAACCGATTTTAAGACCACTTTAACCGCTGATAAGGACCATTATTCTGTTAATAATGAAATGGATGACAAATATTAACATAAATTTATATTAAGCATCATTATGCTATACTTCAATTTCACATAAAACAAGAAGAGTTTGTCAAGCACAAATGCCACATTAGGTTAACCTCGTACAGACGGACAGTTCTATAACTATATGCCCGGGGGCACAAAAAAGAAAATATGCTTTAGTAAGGGTGTAACAATACAGCAAAAACCGTATTGCAATATATTGCCATTTTGCTGAAGCGTATTGCAATATATTGCAATACGTATTGTCGTGCATTTGTTTTGATGTAAAGATGGAGTAACATTCATATACTATTATTATATGTATATATTTTTAGTAGAAACTTAATAAAAATGTAAGGAATAAATAGAAAGTAAAGTGTCACACAATATGATAAACAAAACTAGTCGCGTGTGACCTTTCACATCTGGGCCGCTTATGTAAATTACGCGGCCACTTATTATTTTTAAGTGTACTAGTTGTCGGATACTTTTATCTTACGTTGGCGCCAACAAAATTCGCCAATTAAAGATTTTATGTGAAATTTGTGCAAAATTAGAAGGCAATTAATTGAAAATTATGATTTTTATAAAATACCGGTTTTCCAAAAATCGTACCGCGGTACGAAATTTATTTTTCATATTGCAATATATCGGTATACCGGTAAACCGTTACTTCCTTAATGCTTACCATTTTCATCCGAAGGAGGTGTATAATAACTTCTTATGGCTACAAACTCCAGACTTTTGTTGATTCTTAATGTGTTTAATACTGGCATCCAGTCATTTGCTCTGTAACATATTTTATACACATTATATATTCACTTTGTAGGGAGTATTGCTTGTCATAAATGAATGTTTTTAGACACATTCACCAGTATCATAAATTTATACATGTGGTATTCTTTTACTGTTCTGGGAAATTACATGTTATGTGCTTCATCCTGCCCGCCACAAACGGTTCAGGAAGATATTTGAATAGACTTATCTAACTTCTGTGCCACAGGTAGATTGCTATCTACTAATTGCCAAAAAGCAACAGAAGAAAAAGATGGCTCTGCACCTGAGTCCATGTAATTGGCCAATGAGTAACTTTTTTAAATCAAAACCAGACAAAAAAAATAGAAACTTTTCTAAAAATAAAAATAGAAGCATTTCTGGGGCATTAAATGGGCCTTTAACACAAAGCTTTACTCCTAACAAAATTTTTAATTTACCTGATTCTATCTCCATTTAGATCTAACACACCTTGTGAAAGGTGAGCTTTCACTGCTGGCAATGGACATGAATCTTGTAGAGCACATAAATTATCGTAGTGTGTTTCAAAGTCATACGCCCCTCTCTGACGTACCTGCACACTCTCAATCATTGTGATCTATACACAATCTGCACTCTTCTGAAATAAAAGTTTAACACTATGATTAATATCTGCAATAAAGTTTATAAACTAGTCAAATGTACCCACAGTCTTAAACAGTGGTATAGTATTTGACATTTATTTTTATAAATCTGAATGAATTATTTGCTTTTGCTGTTATGTTGTTTATATGATTGGTCAAAGATAGATCTTTACTAATTGTTACACCTAAATATTTTGCAGCCTCAGTGGCAGATGTGTTTGTTTGGGTTTTAAGCCACACCAACACAGTACAGGTCATATAGCGACGTTCCAGCTTTACAGATGAAGGAAGTCATCCGGTGCCCTTCCTTGCATTATTTCAGGCCCAAACTGACACCTGAGTAGAACCACCGATGCTCCAAAAGCAAGCTGGATACAGGAAGATGTGTAACCGGCTAAATAGTTCAGTCAGAGGAGCTGTGGAATGTTAATGCGCGGGTCCTGCTTTTTTGACTTCTGATCAAGCTGTACATTTTCCCATCCCTATCAGAATTGTTAAATAAAGTTATCATACATGCAGTAGAACTACGCTGTCATGGTAAAACATTGGGCACAGTTATAAAACAAAGAAACAAACAATAAGATTGCCAGCTCCCTTTAAATAAAGTTTAGTTTATTTTGTTTTGCAAGGCAGATAGAAAAAGGGGATAAACAAGAAAAACGCATTAAAAATAGTAAATAATACAACTAAATGAACGTTTGAATACTGGTTATAACCAGCAAACATTAAATTGGTGAGAATTAGTGGTCATGTTGACATTTTGCATATGAAAATGTACGAAAACATCCGAGATTTCCGCATAAAATTTCATGCTTGTGCTCGTTTTGTAAACTTTCAATGGGAATTGCAAATGTTTGCAAACGTTTCGAAGCATAATTACTTCAAAAGTTGGACATATTTGTTAATAAAAAGAAATCAGGTGCTACTGATCTGACATAAGTTTTAATTTACATGTTAAATACTCGGTAACTAGGCCTTAGTTTCTTGTAAACTATCTTTGAAATCCCAGGAAATGGCGCTTCAGCGGAAGTGTAATAACCGAAATGAAACGAACTTGGAGAGTGAGGCGAACTGGTTTTTATTAACGGATTATAACAACTAATGACAAGGTGTCAATGATTTGTAGAATATTGAACTTCCCAACCATAGAAATGCCATACCCTTCGGATTTCTTGAAAAAGTTTATTAGTAAATTATCAACCCATAATAAGAACTTGTCTTTCGTGCAAAATAAATTACTCCTGAAGGATTTTTAGGTTTGTAATCGATATTTTTCGAAAGTAGTGGAGCGAAAGGGCAAGAGATGGAGCAAAAGGTTCGATGTTGAGCGCAAGGCGATATTAATTTGACGTATTAGGAGGAGCGTAGTCTATGATTTTTACATATAAAAGCTATAGAAGTTAAAATAGACGTGATCAAGTGTTGAGACCGAGATATATATACCTTTTAAAGACAACTAATAAAGTGTGATATCCTTTCAACGACTATAGCGTAATAAATGTAATCGCGAAGGTGTCACCGATTTCTGCCGTGTAGATTCCATTATTTATGTGTTCGAAATTTGGATGAGGCCCGACCATTGAATCATACACATGTATGCATGGCATAAAAAGGATGCCACATATTCGAGAGGTCAATCATGATTTTTCACACGGTTATGTACATTTTAAAACGTGTGTCCGTGCAAATTCGTCAAAATTGAATATTTTCAGTTCTACCGCGAACAAATGTTTCCGAGCTGGTACATGTAACGCGATTGTTCACGCCAAAATGTTATATTTTTCGAAAAATTAGTCATCAAGGTGCAGAACAGAAGCAAAATTATGCAATGCATGGAACATATTAAATTAAATGGATCACTACTACCGAGTTCAGTTAACAATGACTTTCTGTCATTATTATGTCTCCCCACCTCGGGGGGAGACATATTGTTTTTGCCCTGTCCGTCCGTCAGTCCGTCCGTCAGTCCGTCCGTCCGTCCATTCTTCGTTTCCGGACGATAACTAGAGTTCCTTTTGACCTACAGCTCTCAAACTTCATAGGATGAATGGTCTTATTGAGCAGATGATCCCTATTGTTTTTGGGTCAGTAGTTCAAAGGTCAAGGTCACAGTGACCGTTGGTCAATTTCTCGTTTCCGGATGATAACTAGAGTTCCTTTTGGACCTACAGCCCCAAACTTCATAGGATGATTGGTCTTATAGAGCTGATGATCCCTATTGTTTTTGGGGTCAGTAGGTCAAAGGTCAAGGTCACACTGACCGTTGGTCAATTTCTCGTTTCCGGATGATAACTAGAGTTCCTTTAGACCTACAGACCTTCAAACTTCATAGGATGATTTGGTCTTATTGAGCAGATGATCCCTATTGTTTTTGGGGGTCAGTAGTTCAAAGGTCAAGGTCACAGTGACCGTTGGTCAATTTCTCGTTTCCGGATGATAAACTAGAGTTCCTTTTGACCTACAGCCCTCAAACTTCATAGGATGATTGGTCTTATAGAGCAGATGATCCCTATTGTTTTTGGGTCAGTAGGTCAAAGGTCAAGGGTTTCACAGTGACCGTTGGTCAATTTCTCCATTTTCCATTCCTGTTTCCATTCACAGTTATTCTCAGCAGTGGGGGAGACATGCGCTTTTTTTACAAAAGCATCCTCTAGTTCATTAATAGCTTCTAACGTACTGTTTCAGAACAAACACAAATAAGCCACGTTTTCATGAATTTGTAAGGTGGGGAATCGCTATGAAATTTGTTGACAAAAGTGTCAGTCGCTTATTAAGGATTAAAACATTGTGTTTCAGTTATGTTTCAAAGATACTTCCTCCCTTATTTTAGCATTGTTGTTTAGTTTTTTTTTATTTTTCCCCTCAAAGTGGCAAATAGAAATTTTTCTACATAGCTAGGTCTAATTATTAATATTGATAATTTTAGTCCGTACACCGACTGAGCTCTGCCTTTTTTTATTACGTTCGGTTTTTGTTCAATTAGCATAAACAACAAAATCTTAGATACTTATTTTAACTTAATTTTTTCTTAAAACCAGATTTGTACTACAGTGTTTGATTAAATTAAACTTCAAAACATTTCTATTTACATTTTGAGAGGAAAAATAAAAAAACTAAACAACAATGCCTAAATAAGGGAGGAAGTATCTTTGAAACATTACTGAAACACGTTGTTATATCCTTATAACGACTGACACCTTGCCGACCATTTTCATAGAGATTTCCCCCCTTAAAATTCTTTAAAAAACTTGGCTTATTTTGTTTTGCTCTGAAATATTTTTTTAGAGTTTTAAAATGACAAAAAGCCCATTGTGAACTAAAATCGGTATTTAGTGATCCATTTAATTTAATGTGTTCCATGTTTTCCCAAAATTTTTGTTTTTTGTTCTGCCCCTTTGAATTTTTATAATTTCGAAAAACAAAAATTTTTGGCCCGTGAACAATCTTTTTTACACTTTACCTGCCCCAAAACATTTTTTTCGGGGTTTAGAATGAAAATTTCGTTTTTGTCAAAATTTAAATGGACACACTTTTTTTAATGCCAAAACCCGGTGTAAAAAATCAGATTTGATTTCGAATAAGGGGGAAATCCTGTATTTCCATGCTTTACTTTGTTATGAATTAAGGGTTTGGGGCCCTCATCCAAATTTTCGAAATTGTTTGTTTGTTTTGTTTGTTTTATTTTACGCCTTTTTTCCAAAAAAGTATTTCGTCATATAGACAGGGTGTTTCCTAAACCATCGTTCCTGGGAGGTAACCCAGTCCTTAGCCTACGATCTTCCCCTTGAAAGCTACCAAAGTTATCTCCCGGGATCGAATTTCCACGCCAGAGAAGTAAACTGGATTAGAAGTCCATTGGGACTCTAACCCCCTCGACCACGGAGGCGGTCAATTTTCGAAACATAAAAATGGAATCTACACGGCAGAAATCGGTGTGACACCTTCGCGATTACATTTTATTCGTATAGGTCGTTGAAAGGATATCGCAGCTTTATTTAAGTTGTCTTTAAAAAAGGTATATATATATCTCGTCTTAACATTGATCATGTCTAATTTAATTTCTATTAGCTTTTTATTATAAAAAAAAAAATCATAGAACTACGCTCCTCCTAATACGTCCAAATTAATATTGCCTTTTGCGCTCAAATTTCGAAACCTTTTGCTCCATCTCTTGCCCTTTCGCTCCACTACTTTTTTTTCGAAAAATATCGATTTTAAAATTTAGAAAATCCTTCAGGAGTAATTTAATTTGCCAACGAAGGACAAGTTTCTTAAATTGTGGTTGATAATTTTACCCTAATACACTTTTTCAAGAAATCTGAAGGGTTATTTGGCATTTCTATGGTTGGGAAGTTCAATAATTCTACAAATCATTGTTCGCTTTCGTCAGGGAGAAAAGTTCTCCTGGGCTTAATAAAATTTTTTGTTTTTGGTTAACACTTAGATTCATTGGAAGCCAAAATCAATCCTTCACGGAACTACATTTTCCGTTTTTCGAAAAAATTAAAACTTAAATGAATAGGCAAGACAAAAACATAAACAATACTTACAATTAGGCGTTTAAATCGGCCTTCCGCTCTATCTCGGAAATGCCGTTCGCTCGTTTTACCGTACACCACAATTTTGAAGTGGAGCGACAGTTTGCCGGGCGTGAAGCAGTAACAAAAAAAAATAAAGTTACAAATAAAACAAAACAAAAATATTATAACTAAATAACGTCACGATTATCCAATGGAAAGTTATTTTATTATAAAAATATTATAAACTTTATATGTATACACGACTGCGGTTAAATTATTTAGTAAGAAAATTTTTATTTCTAAACAATTCATTTATTTACGGCCAATAACCTGTCAAAAATCATTTAAACTATAACATAACCAGTCAAAAATCTTTTATTACAAGCGTTTACATTTAAGTTTGTATTACTCATACTGGCTATCCTTTAATGTAAAAGTATATTCAAGGGCGTTGCCATGCCGCTTTTACATATATATAATCAGAAATCGGCAATTGGATATATCTAGCTCTATAACACAGCTTTGATCACGTTTTTACTAGTTCATGTTAATTACATGAAATGCACACATGGTTTAAAAACTTATATTCCATCAGATTTTATAGGAATTCCCTTGACGCTTCACTAAATTTCCTTGTCGGGTGGGCACTCAGGTTAAGATATCTATGACACCTAGATTTCCGCCGGTTCTCTTTAGGGTCTAGGTCTGTCAAATGCCATGACCCTAATCCTATGAACTTGTACCGCTAATAAAGCACTATATATGTTCCGTTTACCTTTACCTACGCATCTTCAACTCGATTTGCTGCATTTCATGCACGGACAATAATTAATACTCTAACACTCTTAGTATAAACGAAATAGATTGTTGACATGGATTCTGTACTATACGCTGTAGTATAATCAATAATACCGGAACTTTCAGTCTTTTTTTAACACGTTGAAGACTATTTCTATGATAATTACGGCCAAACACTGCAATTTTCATTGAAGGAAAATGAAATTATAATTATAATTTTTTTAAAACAATCAAATACAACACGCTATTCTGAGATGCCAAAGTAGTGAAAGGTGATCATTCAAACTTGAACAGTGCCGTTATCGTCAAATCTTAATCCTCCAAAATAATATAATGGTTACGGGCACAACGCCCAGGATGTGCAATCAGAATCCACCGCCGTCTGTTAGTTCGTGATCCAAAATTTTCTTTTTTATTAACTTTATAAGCAGGCAATTACACAACTTTAATAAAAGTTTCCAAATACTGGTGTTTTGTGCAAGTATCATACACTACGTTTGTGTATGCCCGTAGTAATGGTTGTTTTGCACACCATTTATACGTGTTTAACCACAATAGGCCTTAAAAGGTTGCGTCGTGCTCGTCAACCTGTACAGAAGTGTTATGCTAAACGGCAATCTATTGCATAGTAGTGCGCTGTAACCAAGTTGAACAGACACTACACATATAGCGGCTCCCGTCTCTCACAATTTAAACACTAAACAAAATCCAGCTAATCTAAGATAC